ACACACGGGTTTTCTAGAGGACATTCGTACCTGTCTTAGTTTGTTCTTCATTGCTGTGACAAAACACTCTGACCAGTACCAACTTGGGGAGGAAAGGGTTTATTTGTCTTACATCTCCCAGGTCACAGTTCATCATGGAGCCCAAGGTAGGAACTCAGGGCAGGAACCTGGAGGCAGGAGCTGGAGCACAGGCCATGGAGGAACACTGCTTACTGGCTTGCTCCCTTGGCCCCTGCTCAGCCTGCTTTCTTATGCAACACAAGCCCACCTGCCCAGCTGTGGCACCACCCACAGTGGGCTGGGCCCTCCCACATCACTCATCAAGAAGATGCCCCTCAGACATGGCCACAGGCCAGTCCAATAGAGGCAATTCCCCGATTGAGGCTCCCTCAACCCAGGTGTGTCAAGTTGACACCAAAGCCATCCAGCACAGTACCCGAGCTGTAACACTACTCACAGGCTTGCTGCAGATGCTAAGCACATGCAGCTTGTGCATCTAGATCCTGGTCTGTGGTCAATGTTGGAGATGCCTACAAGTACTTGAGAGGGATGTCTGTGAAGTGGGGGCTGGAGCATATGTGGAAGAAGTCTCCTAGCTGTTCCTGTGACTAGGAGGGTGGTGATCTGACTCTGAGAAGCCAAAGAGGTGTAGCAGTGCAGTGGCTGCACAGCAGACAAAAGTTGTAGAGAAGGTTGCCTCTCTGTCGGACTGCAGGACTTTTCCACACAGCCTGACCCAGAAACCCATGGAGAAGAGGACCTGGGAAATGCAGCCCAGCCCAGCTGGGTAGGCACTGGGTAAAGCCACCCCGTCCCCTTGGGTCATAACCAGGGCCAGGTAGAGGTAGGAGTCTAGATGACCTCTTGGTAGAGTGATGTGGTCAGATGTGGTTGGGCAGCAGCAAGTAGTCCTGATGGGTGGGTAGGGTAGTAGGGGGATGGGTGGGTGTAGGGCCCTTCTGCAGGACTAGACATCCTCCTGTGTGCCCGAGGAGGAGTAGAGCAGGCCCAGGCTTACCAAGATGCAGGAACCCACCCACCCCCCGGCCTTTCTAGGTCTCTTGAGAGTCTGGTGTGACCATGGTCCATGGCAGACCCAGCTGGTGGTCACTGTGGCCAAACCTCCTGCCCAAAAGAAGAGAGGAAAGGAGAAGGGACCCCAGGTCAAGAAATCCATAGGGAGAGCTTTGGAAATGTAATTAAATGGAAAAAATTAAATCCAATTACAAACAAGACATTCTAGAGGGTAATTCTAGGGACTCCTTTTGTGTTTCGAGTGAAAGTGCCTGCCTTCTCCTGTCTTGGCAGCCTTCCTGGAGCTGGGGTGGGGCCAGCACCATGACTGGACACTCCTGGGATCCACCCTACAAGTGCATGCAGAGATACCTGGCTGTGTTCTTCCTCTGCTTGCCCTCCCCTGCCCACCAGGGAACCCCCCAGCCCATGCAGTTTCAGTCCTGATCTCCCCAGATGAGAAACTGTCAAAAGGCCCACCTGGGAAGGCCTGCCTGAGATGCTCTGGCTTCATGGCCTACAGCTCTGGGGCTCATGCACACCTGAATGTGCATGCATGTGGCTGAGTGTGTGGTCTGAGTGTGCTTGTGTGCCTACTCTAGAGCTCACATAGGCAATGGCAGAATGCTCCAAAGCCACAAGTATCCATCCATTTTGGGCATCAGAATTATGGCTATGACTGAGCAGTGTCCTGGCTGTGCCTGGAGGGAGGGGGAAGAGGCCAGAGCCAGAGGCCCCAGATGGCAGACAGGCTCCTGGAGCCCTACTCGGGGGATCTGGGCCCTGGTGAACAGCAGCACTGAAGTCCTGTCTAAGCAGGCCTCTATTGCTTCCCACCTGCTATCCAGGGACTGGTCAGGACAGAGGGAAATCTGCCCTCCATGGTACCCAACCAGGTGTCAGGGGCTGCTGGTCTGTCAGTCTACAGGTGGCTCATATCTCTGGGGAGTTGGACCCTGAGACTCCAGACTGAACAGCACCTCAGTCAAGAATGGGGCTTGTCAGGTATGGTAGCTCATGCCTGCAATCCTAGCATTGGAAAAGCTGAGGCAGGAGGATTGCTGAGTTTGAGAGTAGACAGGGCTACGTAGCGAGTTCCAAATCAGCCAGGATTACATAATGAGACCCTGTCTCTAAACGAGCACACAAATACATCAATAAAAAAGAATGGCCTTGGTGAACCTGTGACCCTCCAGACCCTCTCTTCCCCACAGACCCCAGAGAAAGCACAACACAAAGATGATCCCACTGGTCAGAACTTCGACTCTAGGCCAGCACTTCTAGACTGTACTCGGTCCAGGGACATCATGTGCAGACTCTGCGAAGCAGCCTTGCAGTCCCCTGGCCTGCACCCCAGATGTCAAACCCTAGGGGAGGCACGGTGGTTGCTCCTCTATCTGAGCTGCTCTGGGGGCTACTGACCTGGGCATCACACAGCAGGCCTAGGGTCCAGCCCTAGTGTGCATGTGCATGACTGGGCATGTGGTCCAGCCCGCAGGTGACTCTTTGTCTCCTGACTACACAGGCCACATGCTGTCCCAAGCCCAGCAGCTTCACCTGGCATCTCCTGCTCTGTCCTGGGAACAACACAGACAACACTTCATCTGAAAGATTTTCTGTGCCACCCAACTGTGAGTCATCCTGTTCCTTCTTATTGGGGTATGTGGATGTGATAGGGCTCATTTCTTCTGGGTACCTGGGCTGCTGAGGGCCTCTTCTACTGACTCCCTCATTGATGAACTCACCATTTTGCAGGGTTTCCAGGTTGAACATGGCTTGCGTGCCTTCATCTCTGCTACTTAGGGAATTCTCTTGCTGAAGGAAAGCTCAGTAGTGAGTGCTGAGGGGGTGTGGCTGCAATATATGGTCATATGGTGTCAGGGATCCCCATTGTAGGAAAGGATCACAGCAGAGAGTTGAGTACAGGGTGGGCCTAGTATAGAGGTGTGGCAAGTGCTCCAGGCAGAGGAATGATAGAAAGATCGTGAGGTAGTAATGTGTTTGGTCTTGAGGCACACTGCAGACAGCATGCATTGTAATGGGCAGGAGCTGAGGTCAGGGCAGGGATAACTGGCCTCTTTGGCCATCCTAAGGATTTGGTTTTGGCTCCAGTGGGATGAGACACCTTGAGGACTCTAGGCAAAGGAGGAACAAACTGATTCTTGTTTTCAGACAACCAAAATGGCTGGAATGTTAAGATAGCCTACAGGGGCTGGGTGTGGTGGCCCATGCCTTTAATCCTAGCGCTCAGAAGACAGAGGCCGTGGATCTCTGTGAGTTCAAGGCCAGCCTGGTCTACCTAGCAAGTTCCAGGATAGGTGGGGTTACAGGGAAACCCTGTCTCAAAAAGACAAAAAAGATACCTTGTAGGGAAGAGGCATGGGACCAAAAAAGGCCTGCTAGTCAGGTGTGGTGCATCAGTAGGGAGTTTGGGGGAACTGAACTTAGATAATGTTGAGGGTCAAGCTAGAGGAGCTGGAGGCAGTGGAGGGGTCCCAGAAGAGATAGTGAACTTGTTACTTCCCAAGACCAACTCTAGAGATGCTGGGCAGGAGGCAGGGGATCTGAGGCCCCACTTTGGTGCTGGTGGATGGGGACCAAGCCACTCTGGGTAGCCTGACTTTCAGGTTCCTCTTTCTCAGCCTGTGCCATCTTCGTGTCACCCAGTGACGGTGTCATGACATTCTGGCCAAACACTAGCTTTCTGCCCTCTGACCTCATCAAGGATGTTCCTCCCTGCTGGGCCCTCCATGGATTATTTCCACGATTTGGGCATCTTCCTAAAGGAATGAGCTTGCCGAAAGCAAGTCTGAAGGGCTGGAAGTGTCACTCTGTGGTGGAAGGCTTGTCTAGCACATACAAGACCCTGAATTCAATCGCCAACACTGCAAAATAGCCCATAAAACCAACAACAACAAAACTCAAAACAAAAAAAGCATATCTAAGAGGCTCCTGAGAGCAGGCCTCTCCCCTTCTCCCTAAAACTAGCCTGAACAAAGGTCCCTACATCAGAGAAGTCCTCCCAAAGACCAGCCTAAGGGAGCCCAGGTCCCCCAACCTCAAGCAGTACATCTACAAACCACCTCGACTCAGTAGCACTTCCTTGGTGAGAGTCAAAAGGGACCTGCTGGCTCATTGGGTGAAGTGTGTGTCAATTATCTGAGGCAGTGGCCATGGTGGGGAAGGAGCGTGCATCAAATAGAAGCGTGGTGAGGGACAATAACATGGGAAGGAGACAAGCAGCACCTATGGGCAGGACCCAAGCCAACTGTTCAGGTGTGGTTTCATGTGAGACCCAGCACAGGTGAGTCCAACTCAGGGAGCCAGGAGGCCAGTGAGGGGCTGGTTCCTTACCCATCCTTCATTCCTTTCCCTATAGGCAGTTGGTGAATAGGGGGCTAAGATGGTGCCTGGGAGGGACGGGGACCCGGGGCTGCTTGCTCTCAGCTGTGATAAAGATATCTGAGGAGGTATGGACTGGTCCCAGTATGGGGGCTTGGGAGGTATGGGAGGTATCTGCTCCTTGTCTGGTGCCAAGAAGACCCAGGTCATCAAATCAGGTGGTGACATCCAGAAGAATGGGAGCAAAGTGGGGTCAGTTGATGGCTTTGATGGCAAACACTTTCCTGGGGAAGGTTAGCTAATCACGGCCCAGGCACATGGCTTGGCCTTTCAGGGGCCCTGGGTACAGTCCAGCACATCTGAAAACAGGACCTGCCAGGCCTTTCATCTCCCCAGGGCAATCCCCTCCTGTCTGGCCGGCCCCATGCTGCCCCCTGTCAACTCTGTAACCCCAAGAGATTACAGAGAGACTTCTGGCACATATTTCTTGTTCCTGAACAGTGACCTACAGGAAGGCAGAGCTCACCTGTCACTGTGCCCTGAACTGCTGAGCCTTTTTGTCAGCGGGGCACCCTGTGAAGGGTTGGAAGCAGGCACAGTGGCCTGCCATGGTTTCGAAGATGCTAGCAGGAAACAGGAGCCTCCTGGATCTGAGACGGATCTTTATTACTCCTGGCACAGCAAGAAGCTGGGACCATGTGTCTGTTTCCCTTGTCCCCAAGCCCCATGGACACGGCCAGGTGGACACTATGCATACAGAGTGTGCTCATTGCAGTGAGGAACTGTGCGCTTAGCAAACTCCAAACTTTTATAATGGGCTGCAAACTCACATCCTGTCCTTTCCCTGGAGGAACAGCTAGGTGACACCCCACACAACTCTGCTTCTGCCCTGCGGGTGGCCTCCTGGCCAACCAGGCAGTTTGCTAAAACCAAGATCCTTGAAAAGACAGTCTGGAACAAACCTGCTGGCATCTGCTGGAATGTGACCCAGGGGAGGTCATCTCCGGGCAGCTTGAAAATCAGAAGAATCCAGGCCTTGGATGGCATCAGCCCCTTTGAGATGCTGTATCTCTAGACCCCATTTAGGGCCCGTTGCTTAAACCAGTCACCTGCAACAAAAAGCTTCCAAGGCACTTGCTACCCGCTGATCACCTCCAGCAGGTTCGTTCTGCCTCACCCACCGTTCACAGTGTGATGGAGCTAGTAAGCCAGAGTGAGGACAGAGCAGTTTTGTTCAAGGTTGAGCTGGAGTTCACCCCAGGATAATGTCACTTTTGCTCTTCTGCGTCTTGCCCACTTACAGGATTCACTTCCTGGTGCTCTTCAATAAACTGTAAGTTTATTGAAGTGTAAGTTCAGGAAGAGGCCTCACTTCGCCCCTAAGCTTTCACAGAGGCCTGTGGAAAGGCAGGAGCGGTAGGTAGATTGCAGACAACATGGGCTGCTGCTCTTCATCCAACCAACAACTTTCCAGAGTAAGGAGGTGTAGTTTAGCCCCCATGGTCCAAGAGCACATGTGCCCGTCTCTTGTGTCTTCACTGGTCCTGGCTCTGTGTGTGTGTATACAAATGGGCGTACAGTGGTGTCCCATCCAGGGTCGGACACCTTTGCTTACCACTTGGGTGTCCTCTCTTGTTTCTAGGGATTCTTTGTATCTTTGGGGGACTGACAGTTTGGTTGAGGGAGGCAGGGGCCGAGGTGTGGGTGAGGCCCATTCTCTTACCTACTCCGGAGCCAGCTGCCTTTTCATAAACCCTCATGTGGTTAGTTCCCGGGCCACTCCACTTTCTGCACCTGACTCCCTTAACCAGATATTTGCTAGTGTGTTTAACTTACTGACACCTCAGATAAAAGGTTCTGGGGTACCCATCCCTTGGACCTGCAAGGGGTTTGGAGAAGCACTGTAGCCAGGATACCCGCTCCACTTAGTTTAGCCCAGTGCTTACAGCTCCCAACTAAGCAATTCGCTAAAGCATCTGTTAATGTCTTACAGAGGTTGTGAGTGCAGTTCTGTGAAAATCCAGAGGGAAAAGCAAACTCTGGACTATCACTGGTAGTGTGGACAGAGAACCTCAAACTTACACACCACGTCACACCCTGACCCCCCCACGTCCCCTATATACACATAATCACATACTTTCCTGTACACATCTCTGCTCTGCCATAGCATGCATGTGCACACACACACACACACGCACACACATTCCCCCAACATACACAAACACATTTTCCCTCTAACATACCTGTCTCCCTTCACCACACATAGACACACACATCCCAACACACACACATCCCCTTAACATGCACATTCTCCATCCAATACATCTGCCTCCCTTTCAATACACACACACACACACACACACACACACACACACACACACACATGAACGTACATAATCTCCTATACAGGTACCAGAGCTCCCGCGTTGCTGCCCCGGAGCTGGGCAGTACATCCTTAAAATTTCCCTTGGACTCTTATCCCCTCTACAAAGTCTCTCTTTGTCCTTTGGGAATGAATCTCCATTTTTAGGCACTGAGATCCTTCAACAAATGGCGGGGGTCGGGGGGCACAGGGGGAGGAAATGGCAGCTGGGCATCCTTGGATTTACCCAGAAGCGCCCCCCAACCCCAGTTTTCTACTCCCCAAATTCAGACTACATTTTGCCTGGGCCTGGGGTTCTGTGGCCTCAGCCCTCCCCGCTCCACTGCTTGAGGCTGACTCTGCTGAGATCATTCCCGTGTTCAGCAACAGCTGGCTGAGCTTAATTAAGCCCCACAGTGCTGGTTCCACCTGGCGAGGAATTAACAACAACAACAAAACAGCAAACATCAGAGGAGGGGTTAGCTAGAGCCTCCAGCTTCTTCCAAAGGTGGGAGCAGGGCCGGGGAGTCCTAACCTGCCTCTCCTCTGTAGCCCCTAGATGTCTGCTGTCAACACTGGGTCCAGGGATGGCATCACTTGTCCAGGGATGGTGGGTGTTGGCCTGCTAGCACCTGTGTTCTTTGTGCTGGGCGGGCAACTGGTTGCTTCTTCCACAGGTGAGGAAACTCAGGCTGCAGCAGGTTACCAGCCCTCCACATGAGTCTACTGAGGACTGTTGTGCATCAGGCCCATGTAGCTGCCCAGTTCACAGGCATGTTTGTGGTCTTCAGGGTCCAGGCAGGTGCCACATGAGCAGAGACTGAGGCTCCCACACATGGTGAAGAGGAGAGCCACGGGTTTGCCTTGGAGAATGTGGATTCCTGCTTCGACGCCCCAATGTCCTGTCGGAGAAGTGAACGAAGGCAGCGTTGGCTGTCTCACCCCACTGAGAGTGCAGAGCAGCGTGCATTCAGTGTCTGATGGATTCCATTGTTCCCCAGTCTGTGCTCAGGGAGGGTCCTGAGCCTCCACCCTGCAGGGCTGGAGCTGAAGAAGGCTCCACAACCATAGATGCATTCATGGAGGACAGGGTTACCTGAGTCAGGTGGGGCAGGTGAGCAGATGCAGACTCCAGAGGTGGCTAGAGAAGAAGCCCCAGCTGGGGTTACTCCAGTTGGATGCTCTCTAGAGTGCCGACCTCAGACAGGCCAGAAGGTGTCAAGGCCCCCTGTGCACAAAGACTGGTTCTTCAGGAAATTTTATTACCTGTATGCATCTGCTTCCAAAGCAGACTTGAACAGTCTAACAAAAATGAAACAGCAGCTATAGGAACAGCAGTCAGTTGTCTAGGTCGCACTCCATTAAGCCCCAGGTCCTGCTCTGCACATCCTGGCACCTAAAGCAGAACAGAAACAAGGACTTGTTATTAGAGTTATATGTTTGGATTTTCAGTTTGGGGGTTTTTTCCTTTTTCAGAATGTTAGGAGAGATGGGTGTTTTGGTGGAAAGCTGTGGTCCCTGCTTGCTGATCTTGAGAAAACAGCCCAACCTGGCACGTTTCCTCTGGGTGGAGGAATAGCTCCACCTGCTCCCTGGGGCATTGGAAGGCCTGAGGGAGCTGCCTCAAAGGGGTGGGGTTGTGAGGGCCAGGGTCTTTCTGCTCCCTCATGTTCCTGGAGACAGGAGTGTGAGATCTCTTGGGGTCACATCCTCTCCTGGGGTCACCCTGCTTCTGTGTTTGTCTTGGTTTTTGAGGTTTGACCTGACATCATTAGTTCTACACTTTCTGGTGACTGTAGATGTGTAGTTTGGGTCTTTATTATTGGTGAGAACGGGTCCCTGCCTGGAGGAGTTCACGTGAACAAGCTAACAAGATGCCAAGTCCAGAGATGCAGGTGAACTGCCTGCCAAGCGCAGCTGTGGCTGACCCTTCGGCTCCCACTCTTCTCATGGGGGTTTGCTGTTCGCACCAAAGGCTCACAGAGGACACAGGGACTCAGGTTGCAGGAAGCCAGAATCTTCCCACAGATGAGGGCACTGAAGAGGAGCTCTCTCACGTCCTGTGTGACTTGGGTCTCTCTGACCCACCTGCCTCTCTAAACCAAGCCTGCCACAGACGCTGTGGGTCACAGGGACTCTAGGTGACTCAAGTCATCACCTTTGGTTTTAACTCTTTCCATGCTTTGTCAGCACAAGCTGATGATACATCCTTCCTGGAGCCAGCTGCCTCTGCTTTTTCTATGTGGGGCTTTTTCGTTCCAGATTCAGTTATTATTATTTTATGTATAGAATACATTGCTGACCCATGTCGTGCAATGCCCACGGAGGTCAGAAGAGGGTGTGGGATCCCCTGGAACTGGAGTTATGGTTGTTTGTTAGCCGTCATGTGGGTGCTGGGAATCGAAGCCAGGTCCTCTGCGAGAGCAGCCAGTGCTCTTAACTGCTGAGCCACCTCTCCAGTCTTGGATTCAGTTTTTATCTGATTCATTGTCTTCTCAGAATTTCTGTGTCTTCTTGTGTTAGTTTTGGTAACTTTTTTCTGTTCTAGTTTGCTTCTCCGTGGCTGTGTCAAAACACTCTGACCAATACCAACTTGGGAAGGAAAGGGTTAATTTGGCTTACATCTCCTACATCACAGTTCATCGTGGAGCCCAAGACAGGAACTCAGGGCAGTGACCTGGGGGCAGGAGCCAGAGCACAGGCCATGGAGGAATGCTGTTTACTGGCTTGCTCCTCTGGCCCATATACAATATAGGCCTACCTGCCCAGGGGTGGCACTGTCCAGAAGATGCCCCACAGATATGGCCAGTCCAGTGGAGGTAACTCACCAGTTGAGGCTCTCTCTACCCAGGTGTATCAAGTTGACAACTAAAACTATCCAGCACAATTGACCCTGTCAACTTGACACACAAACATATCACTATGCAACCATAACCTTTCCATTTCTTGTCCCCTGGATAAGACGTTAACAACATCACAACACAAGACAGTGTCTTTGGAGGACTATCTGACTCCTTTAGGTTAAATGTAGTGGAATAAATTTGACTATTTCCAGACTTCCCTTTTGTTTGTTTGCCTATGTTTTGATTGCTTTTTGTTTTTAGGTCTCCTGTAGTCCAAGCTGGCCCCAAACTCTTGGTAGCTGAGGATGACCTTGAACTCCTGATCCTCCTGCCTCACCCACGCAAGCACTGGGATCACAGCTGTGCACCACCAAACCCAGCTTCCACAGTTACCTTTTTAACGAACTGCCTTCATTCTTGATGCCGGCCATCTCTGTTCCTGTCTCTGTCTCTTTCCCTCTTTCTTTGAGGGAAAACCTGAAAATTCACCCATTTTATCAATCTTTTCAAAGAACTGACTTGCGTGTCTTTGCTTCTCTGGTTCATTTCCATGCTTCCTCACAACCTGCTTCTTGATGGCTGGACTCTTTTTTTCCTTCAAGATTTTCAAGGTTGAAACTTAGAACATTTATTTGAAGACTTTAGACTTCTAACAGCACTTAAAGCTGTAAATCTCACTCAAAGCACAGCTTTTAATATAGCCCACAATTTTTATTTTTTGGGGGGTTATGGGGGAATAGGATCCTACTCTGTAGCCCTATGGCTGGCCTGGAACTCGTTATATAGAACAGGTTGACCTAGAACTCACAGAGATCCACCTGCCTCTGCTTCCTAGGATTAAGGGTGTGCACTACTGCACCTGGCCTAGCCCACAAATTTTGATGTGTCATGTTTTTTATTATTATTTCTAATTTCCTTTTCAAGTTGTTATTTTACCCATGTATTATTTAGAATTCTATGGCTTAATTTTCAAATATTTAAGGGAATTTTACAAATACCCCCCCCTCCGCCGCCATGTCTTTTTGAGACAGGATTTCCCTGAAGCCCCAGCTGACTTGGAATTTACTATGTAAACCAGGCTGGTCTCAGTCTCAGAGATCTGCCTGCCTCTGTTCCTGAGTGCTGGGATTAAAAGCACTTGCCACCACACCCGGCTCCTGGCCTAGAACACACTATGTAGACGAGGGTGGCCTCAACACAGAGATCCACCTGCCTCTGTGTCCTGAGTGCTGGGATTAAAGACATGTTACTGTGCCAGGCCTCTCTGTCTCTGTCTGTCTCTGTCTCTGTCTCTCTCCCTCTCTGTCTCTCTGTCTCTGTCTCTGTCTCTCTCTCTCCCTCTCTGTCTCTCTCCCTCTGTCTCTGTCTCTGTCTCTGTCTCTCTCTCTCTCTCTCTCTTTCTCTCTCTCTCTCTGAAACAGGGTCTCCCTGTAGCCCCAGCATTCCTGAAACTCACTACGGAGACAAAGCTGATCTTATTTGCACAGAGATTCTCCTGCCTCTGCCTTCCAAGTGCTGGGATTAAAGGCGCGCGCCACCTCAGCCATCCTCAGATTTCTTAGTATAATTAATTTCTAGTTTGTGAGAGAACATATGCTGTATGATGTTAATCCTTTCATATTTATTGTCATGTTTTTTAAAAAAATTTTATGTGTATGTGTGTATTGCCTGCATGTAGGTAAGTGTACCCCTGTTGTGCAATGCTCGAGGAGGTCAGAAGTGATTGTCTGATCTCCTGGGACTGGAGTTACGGACAGCTGTTAGCTGCCACGTGGGTGCTGGGATTCGAACCCGGGTCTTCTGCAAGAACAACCATGTTCTTAACTGCTGAGCCATCTCTCCAGCCCCTATGAAGTCATGTTTTATGGTGAATGATCCAGGTACATTTGGGAAAATTCCTGGGTTCTGTTTTTGTCCAGTGAAAAGCTCTATTAATATCAGTTAGGTCCAGAGGGCCGACAGCGTTGCCTTTAGCTTCTCACCTCTCCCATTCCTCTTGTCCTTTCTCAAACTCACAGAGACCCACCTGCCTCTACCAAGTGCTGGGATTAAAGGTGTGTGCCACCACACCCCTTGTGGCTCGCCCCATGTTCTCTGTGCTCCTTGTCACACCCCTGTCCGGGACACATTTGCTTTTGTCTGAGGCTGCATCTTCAGCTTTGATTTTAGTGGCTTGGCTGTGATGTTCCAGATTTTCATGTCTTAGTGTTGCATGGCCTTCACTGATTTGCGTGCTGAACTGACCTGATCCTATGAAAGGAAATGGCACTGAGCTGCCTCTACCTCCCGTGCTTCATCTCCATCACGTTTTCCTGCTGCAGATGTCACACCTCCACCAGACCTTGTTACCTCTATCGGTTTCGAAGGTTTAGAAATGGGAAGAGGGCTTTACACCAGCACATTCTGGTTTTCTAGGGCTTCATTTCCCTCATGGGTCTGAGGTTCTCCCTGCCCTGAAGGACTTTGTGGTTCCTACATGGTTCCTACATGTCTATTGAGATGGTTTTTCTTGCGTTTTGTCTGAAAATGCTTCATTTCACTGATTACCGAAGGATTTTTTGTTTGTTTGTTTAAGGGTTAGTCAACACTTCACTGATTTGTGCCTTGATAGTTTTTATCCAATTTGGTTATTTTCCAGTTTTTATTTCTCCAAATGTTTCTTCTGCTGCGAGCTCTGTCTTTTCCTTCCAGATCTAAATCGTGTACTTGTGACACCACTTGATAGTGTCCACTGGCTGCAGGTTCTGTGCTGGCGATGTGTTTTGTTTGAGACAGGGTCTCCTGTAGCCCGAGGCTGGCCTTACGTAGCTGAGGATGACCTTGAACTTCTGATCCTCCTGTATCTACATTCTGAGAGCTGGGAATAAAGCCTCATTCACAGTGAAATGAATGCTTGGGATGGAACCCAGAGCTTCATGTTAAACAAACACTGAGACGTGTCCCCAGCCCTGTGTTGAGTTTTTAAAAGGTTTTTTAAAAAATGTGTGTGTGCTTAAATTTGGATTTTTTATGGACCCATCTTCATGTCCACTCTTATTTTTCAATCCAAATTGCTCCTCATTGCGGATCTCTGGTCTCAGACACTGTATTTTTCACTGGATTTAGCCTTAGATTCCCCCTGTGTTCCCCGTGTTGAGAGCCTCAGTCTCCTGACTTGTCTTCCTTTCAAATCTTCCTCTCCTAATTCCAGCATCTGGGTCCCCTCTGGGTCTGTCCTCTGAGCTGTCTTCTATAGGAGGGGTAGGTTCATTCCAGCCATGAAGCCTGATCTGGCAAAGCCATTCTGTGCCTTTTTAAAACAATTATTTGTTTGTTTATTATTTTTACTTTATGTATGTGAGTGTGTTGCCTGCATGTATGTGCACTCATGTTGTGCAATGCCGGGGAGGTTGGAAGTGGGTTTCCGAGTCCCCTGGAACTGGAGTTAAGATGGTTTGTAGCCGCCATGTGGGTGCTGGGAATTGAACCCGGGTCCTCCGCAAGAGCAGTCAGTGCTCTTAACCACTGAGCTATCTCTCCAGCCCCAGTTCTGTGCCTTTTAACAAGGTAGGCCTCAGCATTGCTTGTGCCGGGGCCAGCATAACCCTGTTCCCGAGAAGTGCCTTTCCAGGGCCGTCAGCAGGTCTCTGAGCTCTAGCTGTCTGGACTGAGCACCTGTCACCTCCACACCTTTGGTGACAGTTCCTGCAGGGCCTGTGCCTTCCCTCCTTTATCACATGTGGTTCCAGCCTCCTGAACACCAACTCTACTGAGCACTGAGCAGAGTCTGGAAGGTTTCTCCAGGCAGAAAGCTGGGTTGAGTGTGCTGTCTGTGCACTGCTGAAAACGGAGTTCCATGCTGTGGGCCACACTTTGATTGCTGTGTCAGACAGCTGAAGCAACTTGAGGGGGAGGAGTTGGTTTGACGCAGAGTTTCAGAGGTTTCAGCCCAAGTGATCCGGATTTATTGCTTTGGGCCTGGGGGAGGGGTTGTGGGGGAGGGTGGCTGGAGAGTGGGACAAAGGCTGTTCACCTCATGGCTGCCTCATTGCAGCTAGGAAGGTGGGGGTGGAGGAAGGGGAGAGAAGGAGAGGGAAGGAAAAGAGGGGAGGGGAAGGAAAGGGGGGGCTGGAGAGATGATGGCTCGGGTTAAGAGCACATGGCAGCTAACAACAGTCTGTAACTCCAGTGACACCCTCTTCTGGCCTCTGTGGACATTGTACAATATGGGTGCCCTTATGTACATGCACATAAAATACAAATAGATTTTATGGGGCTGGAGAGGTGTCTCAGTGGTTAGAGCACTGGCTGCCCTTGCAGAGGATTTGGGTTCAAATCCCAGCATGCACATGGCGGCTAACTACCATCCATAACTCCAGTTCCAGGGGATCTGACACCTTCTTCTGGCCTCCATGGGCATTACATAACACAGGTGCATTTACATACATGCAGGCAATACAGTCATACACATAAAATAAAAATAATAAAAATTAGATTAAAACCATTTTTCAAGAAAAGAGCAAAGAGAAGGGCAGATCCCAGGGAAGACTGTCCCTCAGGACACGCCCCCAGTGACCTCCTTCCTCCCACCTCCCAACAGTGCCATCATATTATGACTCTCTCAGTGGATTACCCACTGATTAAGGCAGAGCCTTCAGGATCCAGTTACCTCTCAATGATTGGACCCACAGCTGGGGACCAAGCCATCTATACATAAGCCTTGAAGGGGGACACTCCCCATCTAAACTACAGCATGCGGGTTCTGTGCAGTTAAGCAGCTGTCTTCAGCAGGAGCATGATTCCAATGTCCATTTTTCTTAGCCTGGAGCAGTTTCACCATCTCCCTCTGCAGCCTCCTGTCCTTCCCCCGTGAGGTGGTTCGGGTGGCATTCTGGTCCTATCATGGCCTTCCTCATCCCTCTAGACTCCATTCATACACTGTGTCATCAAGTACATTTTGGGGGCTCTGCAGGGGAGGAGCCTCACTCTGAGCCCGTGACAGCCCTGCAGGTGCCTTAGAGGGTGGCACCGCCTGACCTGAATGTCGAGGCTTTTTCACTGTACTTTCTGCGTCTCTTGGTGGCATTGGCACATGGTGTCTAGACATATGGGGTTGGGTGATAGCGTCTCTTCCTAGTCCCTGATGACCCTTTACTGGACAGCTGGACATATAGACCATCAGGATGAGGGTCTTTGGCTGCCAGAGCCTCAGAAATGGATTAGGAGGGCTGGGAAGTGTGTCTCTGCTCTGGGATTTATTTAGTATTGAACAAAATGCTCTCAAACATTAGCCACGGTTCAGCCCCAGGACTGAGATAAATGCTCTGCCCTGGAAAAGGTAAGGGATGCAGAGAAACAGACAAGTGATGTCTACAAGGGGGTCTGTGTGGTACAAGCTTGGGCTTCCTCGCCCCACCTGGCAGAGGCCTGGACATCCTCCTGGGGAACACCAAGCAGGATTGCGAATCTCCAGGTAGAGGGTTGGGATGGAAGGCATGTGGAAGGGCTGTGAGGTCCCCACAGGCTGGTGTTCAGGTGTACCTCAAGAGCACAAGGGATGAGGGTCTGAGGGATCAGGGCCTAGAGTGCTGTCACAGGAGAATGGGTGCGATCACACGGGACTGAGGAGTGACAGGCAGCTTCAAGTCAGGCAGTATGTTCAGACGCGCCGCTGCAGCCACTGTCAGGTGGCTGGACTATGGGGAGGAGGACCTGCGTGGCAGGGGAACCCACAGGGGCTCTTCCAGTGATGGCAAGAAAGAATGACAAGCTTAGGGCACGCAGACCCACTCCTGTGGTGCCGATCTGCCATCCCCAAGCAGGAACCAAAGTGGAGAGCACTGGCCTTCACTAGTCACAGGGAACCCCTGCTGCGTGCAAGCACTCTCTGTGCAAGCACTGAATGTGAATGGTGGATGTTTGGCTCTCCTTAGATGCCCAAGGAGGCTGAGGCTCATGAGGGAGGAGCTGTGCCCACCTAGCTTCACAAGATGCACACAAGGTCCAGACCTAGAGCCTATGCCTGACTGCAGCCAAGTGGCCTGATGCTGGCTATCTCTGTTGTTCACCTGTCAGGCAGGGCTGAGCATGGATGTACAGGTCCACACAGGTCCATACATGTGCACAGGCACACTCATGTTCACTGTGAGAGTGGCATGCTCACAGGAGGTGGAAAGTTATGCCGAGATTCTGTGCACCCCTCACCCCCCAGCTTTGGGGAAACAGCGATGTCTCCGGCCACAGGCGCCATGGCTGCCTGACTCCCAGCTGCTCTCCTTACCTCTCTTGCCCCCGTGCCCTCTCACTACCATCCTGTCTTCCTGTAGGAACAAAGAGGCCCCCGCAGCCCACCAGGTGCCTCCTTCTGCCTCCCTCCTGCCTTTCCTTCCCTTCCTCTCTGTCCCCCTCTCTGTTCCTCTCCCCCTCCCCCATCATTTCTCTTCCTTGAAGGGCAAGAGAAATGGAAATTGAGATCTTCTCTCTGCAATAATTATTGAAAAGTTCAGTACAGAGACAGACAGCGATGCTGTGAGCAGGCAAGCAGGGGAGGGACATTAAGATGCATGCACACAGCTTGCCTTGCAACAGATGTTGGCATAATTAGAGAGGAAAAAATTATGAAATTAATTTGTGGTTCAATGTAAATTTCAGCGATGGGGGGAAGCTGGGCTCTAGTCACCTCATGTGAGTGCAGACACACGGCACAGGCATATACACGTAGCTGACATGCCTACACGCACACATAAGCACATATATGCACATGTGTATACACTGGAATACGCACACACATCCTAGCTTTCCAGGGAGTGGTAATTGTTAAGCCTCTCCAGGGGCATGAACAACAGGGAGGAAGAGAGCGGAAGGTTGGTTCATCCTCTTAGAAGCTCAGTCACTGAGAAGGCTCGGAGATGGTGCCCGTCCCCCACAACAGCATGGGGACTTGGCGGGAACAGCAGATAGTGGAGTGGCTTAGGTCTGGGCTCACATCCTCAGGTGTCTCAAGAGCCCGAGTGTAACACTCATCTCTACCTAGAATGCACACAGAACTGGAACCTGGAGCCTGGGCCTTACCAACTTGCTCCCCACTTGTGCATGACCTGACTTGGGCCCTGGCTGTCAGCTACACACAGATCAGAAAGGAGAGGGAGACCACTCTGGGGACAATCAAGCTGCCAGGGAGCAGTTAGCACCCTGTGGCAAAGATGGGGCAGGGTAGGTCATGGGCCTGAGGACCAGAGTGTGCCCTGGAGGGTGGGTGCCCAGCCAAGGTGTGTGTTTGGAGACAGCAGAAAGGGGCATTTTGTGAAGCTAGCCTCCCACCCAGCACCACCTGCTCCTCCCACTACCAGCCTCCAGCAAGCCTGCAGGGGTTCCCGGGCAAGTGGACATGCAGAGGCAAACATCACCCACTTCCTGGAGGCCACACACAGGCACTCCTGCCAGGCCGGACATAGCTCCTTTCCTCTGTCCCAGTAGCCAGGTGACCCATTCATGCTCAATTTCTCTATCTACTCAGTGATGGCTGGACCTGGGCTCTCCATCTGTTACCCTGGACAGCTAGGCATGGGCTGCTTGTCTGTTACCCTGCGCTGCTCACAGGAGGCATCTCTGGAAGCCTCTCTTTTGCACTGGCCTTCACACATAAGCTCCCATGAACCTCCTTCTGCCTCCCTTCCCAGCTCTTTCCTGGGATAGGACAATGTCAACTCACCCTGCCTTTGTGTACACGCAGCCCCATCTCCCAAACTTCAGTGTTCTGGGAAATCACCCATCACACCATAGCACCCCAACTCCAGTCACAGTCCCCACCCCTCCTGCTCCATGGTGAGTCCTCCCCTAACCTCCCTCCCTTACTCTACCTGTTCAATATATCCATCGCCATCTGTTCCTCTCCCACGTCCTTCGGCTTGGAGGGCACGATGTTGTTGCTGAGTCCTCACCCCGAGGGCTACAACCATGTGGACTGTGGAACGGCCCCTCTCACTGGCGTGCCCTCGAGTTCCTTTTCCCTGGTAACTACGCCTTCCAGAGCCCCAGACACAAGGTGCCCTGCACAGGACAGATGGAATTCTCTAGTCCAATCAGGCCTATGATTCCTCTCCCTGTGTCCTCCCAGAGCTGCTTACCCTGATGTACCTTTCACAGTTGGCTTTCAGCCTCCCTCCTCCAGGAAGCCCTCCCTGACCTCCCTCTGCAGAGCCACATTATTTAGTGCCCCCTTATCACTGAGATTTGTGCCTGCTGGTGCCACCTTCCTCCGTGACGTCTGCAGGGTGCACAGTAGGCAGGTCAGACCCTCCTGAGAGTTGTTACTGACACTGGATGTTCTGTTGATCAATCTAGATCCAAGGAAGTTGAGGATATACGAGCGACTGAGTCAAGGCTGTTCAGAGTAGCAACCATACACTTAAGGCGGGTGGTGGTGGGCACTGTCCCCTGTGCCGCACTGGTGGTTCTGCCAGACAACTGAGACCAATGTTGTGTCCACATGGTGGTCTAGATAGTAGAGACACCTGGCACAACCTGGAATGGGGGTTATTTATTTATTTATTTATTTTTAAATATTTTATTTGTGAGTCAAGGCTGTTCAGAGTAGCAACCATACACTTAAGGCGGGTGGTGGTGGGCACTGTCCCCTGTGCCGCACTGGTGGTTCTGCCAGACAACTGAGACCAATGTTGTGTCCACATGGTGGTCTAGATAGTAGAGACACCTGGCACAACCTGGAATGGGGGTTATTTATTTATTTATTTATTTTTAAATATTTTATTTGTTATTACGGAACCTTACCTACCCACAGCTCAGGGATCATTGCAAAAGAGGAGACGGAAAGATTGTAAGAGCCAGGGCTGGTTCTTGATTACAGGGAAGTAGAGGCTTCCAGGCCACTGGAGGCTTGCTCATGTGAGCTTGTGGCAGTGGTGGTATCAAGTGCAGGACCCATGTCAGCTCAACGAAACAAAGGCCCAAAGGGGAGGTGAAAAATAGATGGCAGGCCAGAACTAGATAGAGAACTGTTTGAGACTGATTGCTGCTGGGTGAGGGAGAGTATGACTTACATATGATCATGTGATGGGCTGATTAGACTCCAGTGGACACGTTTACACTGAAGGACATTTGGGTACAAACACCTGAATGAATAGGACTCAGCATGTACAGCAGAGTACAGAGGGTTAGGTGGGGGGTATAGGGGGAGGCATGGATGGGGGAGGGCATCTAGATTTGAGTGGGAAATGTATGAAATTTTAAAAACCCAATAAAAACAAAAATATTTTATTTTAATTTTTAAAATACTGTATTTTTTTTATTTTATGTGTTGAGTGTATTGCCTGCATGTATGTGAGTGCACCTGTGTCGTGCAATGCCTGAGGAGGACAGAAGAGGGCATTGGATCCCCTGGAACTGCAGTTACGGACAGTTGTTAGCTGCCATGTGGGTGCTGGAATTCAAACCCAGGTCTTCTGCAAGAACAGTCAGTGTTCTTAACTGCTGAGCCATCTCTCCAGCCCCGGGTTATTTTTTATTACGTGTGTGTGTGTGTGTGTGTGTGTGTGTGTGTGTGTGTACACGCCCCTGCATGTACATGGCGGTCAGAAGACGGCTCTTGGAAGTCAGTTCTCTCCTTCCACTATCTAGGTAGGTCCCAGAGATCAACCTCAGATCATCAGATTTGGCAGCAAGCACCTTTACCCTATGGAACCAGGATTTAAAGGTGGCCTGGGGCACATGCAAGGTGTTGAAAGAGATATCACTTCCCAGTGATATGTACAGGACTGTGGGACTGTGGGTGCTCAAGCCTGCACTTGATTCCAGATGAGTGATCCCAGTGACCTGTGGCCTGCTACCTCTAGGTTACGGGAGGACCTGCTTACAGGACTGAACTGGTGGCGTCTGGTTCTCTCCAAGGTGCTGAAACAAGTGCTGTGTTTGAAGGAGTTGTGCCAGATGCTGGGGCCTGGGAACTCCACCTGGCTTCCCCTTGCCCCATCCCTGCCCAGTGAGATGAAGACTGACACCTTTCTGTCAAAAGGGTGAGGACAGGAGGTTCAGTGGGGACAGAGCACAGGCCTTGGGGGTGACAGCCCTTATCCTTGCACTCTGTGTGTCCTGGCCAGAGTCATGTCTTGAAGTCTCAGATTCCCTATTTCCTTCCTGGCCAGGTACAGTGTCGCCCACCCTCCTGTATGATACAGATCTGGGCTCAGGCCACTGGCCCCACCAGGGTGGAGGGGGTCCCTGTTTGATGCTGTCTTCTTCTTGTTCTGGGTTCTAGTTCTTTGTTTCAAACCCTCTAATCTTACGCCCTTATTTATAGCCTAAATAAGGGGTAGAAGAGGAATCCGAGACTGGGTGAGTCTGCATGGCCCTTGGAGGGACCCTCTATATGTAAGTGTGCAAGCTTCACACTGGAGACAGTGTGAGTGGGTGTCTGCAACCAGCTAGAGTGTATACAGTGAGCATGCTGGGAGGATATGGCCAGCAGTCACAGGTTGGCGTGTGACCTGCCCTAGGGACAGCATGTACAGCTTGTGCCCCATGTTGGCATGATGTGTAGACATGTGTGTTCCAGGGGTTGTTCCCGACAGCTCCCACCCAATCCCCTCCTCAGCTCATTAAGGCTCTCCCATTATTCTGACATTTGTGCACATCACGTACCGGCAAAAAGTAATTTACTTAGAAGAAATTAAAAGTTCATTTTAATTGAGCGCACACTGCAGTATGCAAATGCGCACATTATGTACACTGATGCAGAGACAAAGCCATCATCAGCGCTTAACCCTCTGCATGCTGGGCTCCTCAGCTCCATGAGGGCTCCAGGCCCTGGAGGAACCTCCCTGTTCCCCAAGCAGGATGGATCAACCATGCCTGTAATCCTCTGAAATTTCTAGATGTGAACACTACCTGTGTACTGAATCTGGGGACAAGATGGCAGGCTTAACCCTCTCAGGTCCAGTCCACAGCCTTGAGTGATATGGCCTTAACCAGGCCCCCAGGCATGCAAGGCAGGCCCAGTACCACTATGCAGGCTACCCCTGAGCCTGACTCATGGGTAGGTCCTTGCTACAGAGGAGGCTCTTCCCCACAGTGAGTCTTGCTCCTGCCTTGCATCACGTCTAATATTCCTTCCCAAGGAAGGAGGATTTGCAAGGTGCATGATCTATGGTGGGTCCTGATGTCCACTGTGGGTTTGGTCCCCTGTGAGAAGAAGGACCCCAACCCCACCACTTCCCCAGGAACCAAGTATTTCTCAGAAGCCCAAAAGCAGATATATAGGTGATGGTCCCACTACAGGCTGGTCTCCTCCTTGAGTTTGGGGTTCAGTATACACCATGTGGCAGAGCCTGGTGCATCCTACCCACTCTCTGCACTTCATAGCCCTGAAGGTTCAGAGAAGTCAGCAGCTGCCACACATCCTGGAAAGGTTTCAAAAGATAAGGTTGGAGCCTGACCTAGCTCCTGGAGTCTAGACCCCATACTTAAGGACAGAGACATTAGGAAGAAGGGAGAGACACACTGGGCCTTTCTAGACCCTCTTGGGCCTTCCCAAGGGTTTTTTGTTCCTGTCCAGGAGAAAAGCATCAAGTAAGCCAAAAAGTATCCATCAGGGGCATCCAACCTGGGCCCCTGGTGGGGCCCCATGCCAGGAGTCTCAGCAGAGGCAAAGGCCAATGGCGGGAGTCCTGGCTGTGTGCCTGGATCTTTGGGGTCTCCTTATCCCATCTATGGATGGGCAGTGCTTGGCCCCTACAGGTTTCTGTGTGGCACAGCCCAGGCAGCAAGTGGCTATTGTGAGTCTCTGCCTTATGGCTTTTCCCTCTGTCCTTTCTCTCTCCTCTTTGGTCCTTGTGTATCGTGTGGCAGGAAACACCTGTTCAACCCAGTCAGCCCACTCTAGGACAGTGTGGAGGGCCAACTCCCACCTGGTCTGCCTGAGAGAATAGACTGGTCTGGGAGCAGGACTCCCCTGCTGGGGCTGAGGCTGGTCCCTGGGATGCTGTTTTCACGTTGGATTTTCACTACCTGTCAGACCTGGGATTTTTAATGACAGGGAAGTGAAGCTGCTTCACAGATGTGAGATGACAGCCAGCTGCAGGAGGCAGACAAATTACCTCCAGACCCAGCCCACAACGCCCACACATCCACACAAAGGGAGCCCGCCTGCCTCACTTGGATGAACAGGGACAGCAGGGGGCCAGAGCAAGCTGTTCTTGCTTCCCCAGGGCTCCTGCCTGCCTACAGGGCAGCACCTGCCCTTGTGTGCTATAGGGCAGCCTGGCCACAGCTTTCCTGCCCCAGCAGCCTTCAGCCTCCACATGCAGCGGAACTTCTTCCAGCCATAGCCCTGTCTCCTGACCAAGGATCAGGGTTCTATTAGCCACCCACCTCACAGGTCCCTGAAAAACACCCCAGGAGCAGAGGGAAAGGAGCTTGCGTCACTATAGACCTCAGGGACCTAAGGTTCTAAAGAGGAGGAAACTCAGGGAGGGAGACCCAGAGGAGGAGGAAGGCAGAGGGAGGGAGTGTCAGGGAGGGAAACGGACCCAAGAAGGGAGGGAGAGAGGCCCAGAAAGGATGGCTGGTACCCAGCTTCTCTCAGCTGGGCTTGGCTAGCTGTGAGGTGAGAACTCTGTTCCCTGCCCTGGAGCTCTCAGGCCCAAGATGGGTGAGGACTCCAGCCAGAAGGTCCACAATGGGAATCTGGATTATGGGCCTGTAGTGGCCTAGAAATTTGTGTCTATGCAGGAGGCCCCAGGAGGCAGGGGAAGAGGGAGGTGGCCCTTGGTTCAGGCAAAGTGGATGCAGGATGAAGGTGGTCTGTTCTTCCCACTACCTGATGGAGCAACAATTGTGACTTCGCAAGTGGAGTTGACGCCACACCTGTTCCATGAAGTACCTTCCTCTCTGGATAGGGGGGTAGCTGAGTCTGCCTCTGTGACCTCCAAGCTCTGGGGTATGCTTCTCAGGTCCTCCAATCCTATTAGAGATCCTTACTGCATAAGACCCCACATACACACACCGGGTTCTTCTGAGGGACTAAAAGAGATGAGTAGGGCTATACTACTCTGCAGATAGCTATGTGGCCTTGGGTGAGTTACTGAACCCTTCTCTGCCTTTTTCCCTCCTCTGTCAAGGGCACATCTCTTAGCTAAGCTAAGCTGAGCTACCAAAGGGCCTGCCTCCAGCCCTCAAGGAGTCTGTGGGCCCAGGAGCCCAGCTGGGTTGGGGGGGACCAAGGATTCATCTTGTTCTGAGTCCATGCACAGGGACCAGGTGTATCTTCAGCACCTGCTCCTGCCTCCTGCGTGACCCTGTCAGCGTGGGGTCCTAGCAGCCCCTCACTTATAGCCAGCTCCATCACAGCCGATCCATGCACAGGGACCAGGTGTATCTTCAGCACCTGCTCCTGCCTCCTGCGCGACCCTGTCAGCGTGGGGTCCTAGCAGCCCCTCACTTATAGCCAGCTCCGTCACAGCCGGCAGTTTCCTGGTGCTAGATCCCATTGTGCCCTTG